GGAGAGAGCGAGTCAAACAAAATATATTCTTTAGGACGTCATTTTTACTCTTGCCTCTGTCTCCAAGTTTGTTTTTCCTACTATCATGGATGTTAATCAGTAGCCAGAAGACTCTTAGCAGTATAAATAATGTGCTAAAGTAACCTCTGGGAATTTACGTGCCAAACCGAAGAGGGACACATCGCGCACTTTAGCGAAGGACTGGTGTTGAATTCGCCGAGTGAGGATCTTTGGAATTCTTCTGATATTCTGCGGAAATACCTAAACTCTCGATTACGCTCCGCACTATTTGCAAGACCTTTATGTCAGCGTCATAACTACAAAAACGTTAACAGCGTACGATTAATCTCTAACTTTAAGAGCTGTCAGAAATATTTCTTCATTCACTTTGATAACTACGCTATGAATGAAATCGTCCATGAGGTTCACAGTTAATTGCGGCTGTAAAACAAAGCGGTTTCCAAACAAGACACTCATCCCTACTACATCTGAATTAAGATACGAAACTTGATTGAAGCTCATCTTTGCTGACATGTTTGGCCAGCGAAGCTGATGAACACAGTGGCAATTGGTGTTATGGGTACATTTGATATTTGACCTTTTTTTCTGACTATCACCGACACGGAAAAATCCCACAAACGTACCAACAACAGCTTTGTTGTAAACGGAGGTTCGAAGAATTCCATTTAATTGTCTAAAGCTTTCCGCCTGTCCCCTATACGGGAATGCTTTACGCTGGATGCCGATTGGTAACTCCTCCTGTGCTAGACATTGTGGGTCACTACCAACTTCCGAGCCTTCCAAACTGGGTCCGACAGATTTAGTGGGGGGTCGCGAAGCAATTGCTGCTCTCGGTATTTTTTTTTTTTGTATGGGTTTCAGTTTAGCTAGTTTCAGCATAGATTTTATTATGTTGACTGACACTAGTACGCATCATTGAATCATTGAAACTGACTCTTGTAGACCTGTGAAAATCGTGGGGGTGTCTCCGGGTTGCGGAGTTTGGTAAGCACTCAAATAGGCAATAAATTCCTTTATAACCTAGTCACGATAAATGAAAGTGTCAAGGAGGTTCTAAATTATTCGCGCAGAGAGAGGTGAAAAGCGCGCTCGAAGTTGCTACATGCGTGCTGTTTTGTCGCTGTGCTGTTTCGACGCAGCGCTGTTTTGGCACGTGATCTTCTGTCGCTGTGCCGTTTTGGCGCTGTGCTGTTTTGTCGCGTGCTATTTTGAAGCGTGCTGTTTTGTCGTGTGCTGTTCTGTCGCGCTCCCCGGAACTTCAACGAAACACCACGCAGAGTGGTAAAAAAGTATCATCAAACGCAGCCTTAGAGGAGTCATCTTCCAGCATTGCAAGAAGGACAAGTGGTCCGCATTAAGGGCGACACATGGGCAACGAAGGCGAAGGTAATCAACAGGACGCGGCCCAGTTCTTATCAGGTCGCAACAGAAAATGGCAACGTTTTACGACGTAATCGCCAACATCTGCTAGCAATGAAAGAACAGTTCAACCGTTCCGAAGAATGCTCGTCCGATGAAAAAAACTCGAACGACGAGACACCGGAACAACTCCAACGACCCTCAGGCAGCGTGGCCGCGACAGCACCAGCGCTGAGAAGGTTCACACGCAACAGAAGACCTCCAGAGCGGCTAGGCTATGGCAAGAACTTTGTTCAAGGCTCGTAACAAGTGTTCCAGCACCGAGGGTCGAGCTACTACGCTGTCGACATGCTGTACTTTTGTTTGTTTTTCATTCCTTTAAAGAGAGGAAGATGTATCGTGTTCGCTATGTCACGGGCACGCGCCGAACTTATTATCGGGGCTCATACTCTGTTATAATAAATCTTTATTTTGTTTCATCACTGAAACGGGGGACCAAGACAAAAAGCTGCTGCAGCAGCTTGACGGAGGTCCTGGCCCCCTTTACAGCAGGCTATCCCTAAGCAATTTCAAAAACGAACACAATAGCATTTAAAAGACCACTATTTTAAATGTACAGACCATAGATCAAACAAAAACAAGAAAAAACAAAAATTAATGCATTCATTGTGGTATACAATGGTACAGTGATCCTTGTGCCTTAGCTGTACCTAAGAAAACAACCCTAAAATAATGCTCGTACCTCTGCCAGCGTCATTGCATGAATATCAACACCTTTTAAAAATAATTCATTTAACAGAGTAGTTAATTGGTAATTTAGCGTGTGGTTATAATATAATGTATGTGATGGTGAAACAAACCATTTTTCTTTAGGGCGGAGTTGATATGAGGAAGTGAAAAGGACTAGGTTACATAACTCCTCAAAATCTTTATTTTTAAACTGCGTAGACTTCTTGTACGCCACAAGAAGTCGGGACCTGTAAATATTTGAAATTGGTTTTATATTAAACAATGAAAACAAGTGTTCAGTATGATCATAGTATGAAACATTGGCAATAGCACGCACAGCTTTCTTTTGTAAAATATGTAGTTTATATATATTTGTTTTTGTTGTATTTCCCCAAACTAGATGACAATAATTAAGTTGCGAATATACCAAAGCATTGTAAAGTTGGAGCTTAACACAACGAGGTAGCAACGATTTAAACTTGGTTAGCAACCCCACTGTTTTTGACAATTCGGACGAAAGATTATCAACATGTTTATTCCAAGACATACTATTTGTAAACCAAACACCCAAAGTCTTAATAGTGTCGACAAATTCAATTTCTTCATTGTTCAAAATCAGTGGGTTTGGGATCATAACTGTAGCATGTTGACTTTTAAATAAAATGGCTTTGGTTTTTTGCGAATTTAACTTAAGGTGATTATTTTTTGTCCATTTTGCTACACGTTCAAGAACGGTATTACATTTAGTTACTAGAGTACAAATATCTTTATCGGAAAAGAAGATGCTTGTGTCATCAGCGTATATTATGAACTCAACTTTAAGATCCCGATTTACATTCACAATATCGTTAATATAAAGAATAAAAAGGAGGGGGCCTAAAATGCTGTCTTGGGGTACACCATTTGTTATTTTTGAAATATCAGATTTAAAGTTAAATATGGACACGAACTGGGTACGATTCCGTAAGTAAGATTGTAACAAACTTAATATTTTCCCACGAATGCCATAGTATTCTAATTTTGCTATGAGGACATTGTGATTTATCGTGTCGAAGGCCTTAGAGAAATCTAATTATACACCGATCGTTCATAAGTGATTATCTAGTGCTTTTAATATTATTTATTTTTGTTTTAGTAATGCTAGCTCAGTTGAATAACGTTTACGGAAACCAAATTGATAATTTGTAATTAAAAGGTATTCCTCAAGATGAGAGACAATTTTATTTGAAACGATTTTTTCGAGTGGCTTAGAAAATACTGGAAGTATGGAAATTGGTCTAAAAATGTTAATAATATTTAAATCACCACCTTTATGCAATACACTAACTTTGGCAATCTGCATTTTGATAGGAAACTCACCGCACTCAAGTGCAAGATTGAATATATAAGTTAGGTATGGTGCTAGGATATCTAGAACATACTTTGCTGGCTTTATTTGCATATTGTATGCATCAATACTTCTACTATTGTTTAGACTCATAAATATATTATAGACTTCGGATACATCAGTAGGAAAAAGAAATATAGAATTAGGCAAGGGTGAAGGCATGCACTGAAGTGCATTATTTACAGTAGTAGTAGAAACAGGAGATGTGGTATGATTTACAAAATAGTTATTAAAAGCATTCACCATATTCATCCCCGATATTATACAACCATCTATGTTAATTTCAACTGGCATAGAAACCTGTGGTTGGTGGTTAAGCAATGTTTTGAGTCTTTGCCACATCACGTCACTTTGACGTATATCATCGATATTAAACATATTAATGTAATAATCTTTCTTCGCTTGTCGCAGCATGCTTGTTAGTTTGTTTCTATATTTCTTAAAAATCTCAAGTTTCGAGGCTTCCCTAGATTTCAAAAACGGACCATATAAGTTGTTTTTCGTGCGAATCATAGTGAGAAGTTTAGGTGTAACCCAAGGTTTGCGAGAGGTTTTAGAGGGTTTTACGGTTTTAATGAAAAAAATTTACCATATATTCGAACATAAAAGTCCAGAAAAGAATTATAAGCATCATCTACCGATGAACTTTCAAAAATAACAGACCAATTTATATGTTCAATTTCATAGCGGAAAGCATCTAACTGGCGCTGCGTGATAGGTTGGTATGTAATCGTCGAGCTAAGGTAACGTTGTCTGAAGTGACGTTTTTCTACCGATATAAAAATGGGAAGGTGATCACTGATATCTGATGAAATGACGCCGGCAGAGAGTACGGAATGTTCGTGATTTGTAATAAACAACTCAAGAAGAGAAGCTTTTGTACTCGTTACTCTTGTAGGGTTCTTGACATTAGAAAAACCAAAGGATTGAAACTGAGTTGTAAACGCAAATTGCAAGTTACTATCAGTAAACAAATCAATATTAAAGTCACCAGCGATGTAAGATCTATAGTTATGATCATTTACAAATCCACAGAGCTCTTCAAAACATTCAATAAAAGGCGCAAAGGCAGCACTTGGGGGACGATAAACTACGGAAAATATAGTATCATTGACAAAACAGTCAAAATTTCATACCATTCGGGGATTATTGAAAACTGCTTTAATATTTAGTACCTCATATAGTTCTTCAGTAACATAGCGACACCACCGCCTCTTTTTCCAGCTCTATCAACGCTGATATGATTGTAGTCGGGCAAAATGAAATAATCTGCACTGCTTGTATACCACGTCTCGGAAAACATGATAACACTTAAGTGCGGTCCGTATTCATGAAACAGATTATGCAACTCATCATGCTTGTTTTTTATTGACCTAGTATTCATATGATGAAACGTATCTGATAAGGAATGCTTTTCTTCCAGATAATCATAGAAGTCGAGGGGCGTAAAAAAGCTCTCAGACATCAAAAAAGAAAAAGAACAAAATCAAAAACTAATTTCCGTCTACGCAATCTTGGAAAGGTCGTCTTCACTGGTTATCAAAATGACGCCGCTAGTCTCATTTTTTCGCATGAAAATTCTGCTCTGGGACACCCAGGCAAACTTCCATCCCTTTTCCTTTTTGCAGCGGATCGCTTTGCTCAACAAGACTTTGTTTTCGAGACATAAATGTTCGTTTATATAAACTGGCACAGAGGTCTCAAAACCAAGGTGAGCGCTCGTAAGCCTTCGTTTTTTTGTCTTTGACAAGACTTCATCTCTGACACTACGTCGCACAAACTTTACAATCATATTTTGTACCCCCACCATGGTTTTCGAAGGTACACGATGCACAACATCAATGTCAGCGGGGCACGCCTGAACTCCTGCACAACCAGCGAGCTTAGCGACGAGAGTCTCAAGGTCTTCGTTTGGGTTCTGTGGGAGTCCCTTGATTTCCAAATTATTTGTTCGACTGTATTGTTGGAGGTCAAGAAGCTCCTTTTTTACCGTACGAAGCTCGTCAGCAAGCCGCTGGTTTTCAACTTTTAGAGCATCCTGTTCAGCTCTCAGTTATTTTAATCTCTTTGACTGCGGCAGCAAGGTCTTTTTTTAAATCCTCGAAATTTTTATTCATAAAGTCCATAGACCGATTTCCGCTCTCCAGTTCTGTCCCTAATTTTGTGTTCATGGTATTAATTTCATGGCTTAGTTTAGTGTTCATATCATCCAGCTTAGTAGGAACCTCGGCTAGGATCTTCACCACTTCCTTTACGGTTGAAGGTTGTTTTTCTGCCATGCTAACTACAAGCAACAGAAAGAAACAACAGCTGGGCGATCCAGACAACCACAAAATAATAAATTCAAAAACCAATCACTGTACCCACCTGCAAATACAGAAGATAGATGAGACTTGGGCAGAAGCACACGTGTCTGGATTGCCCGCTGTAATGGGGTAGACCACGCCGAGCACTTTCTTATATAGGCTCAAGTCCCGGAAAGACCGACGTCACCGGAAATGCGGCGCAGACCTCCACTCAAGAGTGCAGAGGCCACAGATGTAAAACTGGCAGATAGGACCACGGTGTTTGCTCAAAAAAGGGCGTCGTGATGACTTGCAGCTTGAAGGAAGCGCTGCGGCAAAGCCGATAACTTTCACCGATCGCCGTTACAAGGTCCAGATTCTGCAAGTACAGAAGATAGATGAGACTTGGGCAGAAGCACACGTGTCTGGATCGCCCGCAGTAATGGGGTAGACCACGCCGAGCACTTTCTTATATAGGCTCAAGTCCTGGAAAGACCGACGTCACCGGAAATGCGGCGCAGACCTCCACTCAAGAGTGCAGAGGCCACAGATGTAAAACGGGCAGATAGGACCACGGTGTTTGCTTAAAAAAAGGCGTCGTGATGACTTGCAGCTTGAAGGAAGCGCTGCGGCACAGCCGATAACTTTCACCGATCGCCGTTGCAAGGTCCAGATTCTGCAAGTACAGAAGATTGATGAGACTTGGGCAGAAGCACACGTGTCTGGATCGCGCGACGTACGCTCTGTAGCAACTTCATTCTTTCCCTCTTCTTTGCCTTCTTCCCATAACACCCTAAAAATACGATAACTGAATAAACAAAAGCGTTCTTATTCTTCCCGGAACTGGTTTGTTCGTGTCTTCCATCGAAACACATCAAAACATGCACAGTGAATGGAAATTGACTATTGCGCATACCTACTGCGATTTAGTAGGCCAACATATACATAGCTGAAAATCTTGATTAGTAGCATAATAATGCTATCAAATTAAAAACATGTCACAGCCGTCGCTGACCTCTTAATCGCCCTCATTCATCTCCATGGACTCGGCCGTGCCGCATCCTCCCCTGGCCCGTAGAGATGAATCTTTACCTTGCGGTTAGTGTGAGTTTTCATTTTCAATGGAGGACTCGTTTTTCTCTTTAGAATTACCGACAGGCTGCTTTTACACCGTAGAGTCAGCTTGGCTAGACAAGGAACCCCCAGTGAACTGCCGGGCAGGCTAGCCATGCTGGAGCAAGCATGCCCCACGGTACAAAACGGTGCATGGCCCAGGGAAACTTTCCCCCGCTGTCCCAGCTGGTTCAAGCTTGAAACGGTCAATTTTGCTACTTGAGTTGTTCGAATCTCCAGCGCTACATTTGGAAAGAGAATGAACATTCGGCGATGCTTTGCTTACATTTGAGTTGAAAAACATTAATATTTGTGTTTCTGTGTGTGGTTAGAGGGAGAAAAAAGGAGGCTGAGCACACGCTGTACAAGGAGCAATGAACTAATTATTTTTACACCGACCGTCTCCCTGACTTTCTCCTTGAAGCCCGAATATTTCGAAATATTTTACAATATTGCCGTTGTTGGGGAGAGAACAATAACGTATTTTGTATCACTTCAAAATAGAAGATTCCCTGCTAAATACTCCTAACTGATATGATGTTTTAACATTATTAAATTAAAACGGTGAATATACCCGCTTTATGTAAGCCGTTCTACTGTCGGATACTAAAGCATTTATATTCGTTATTTTTTAACTCTCTGAATTTCATAACCGGAGTTTTTTAATTTTGGACATAGAACACAGACGGACTGACTTTAAAGCGATGCTTAATTACCAGGCTTCTTAAATTAAAGAAAGAAAAAGAAAGCTTTCCTGGCTTATGCGATTCAACGGCAGAAATCTTCCGAACGTTTCTCGTATAATGTCGGGTACATCTACGAGCTCGTACCCAGAGTTGCCAAAACCGCAATTTTGAGATTCGTGGCCTGATAGTTCTATGCAATTAAATAGTACAGGTAAATCACTATACAATTGTGTCGCGAATTGCGGGAAAAAAATAGGCATTTAGCAAACACAACTTTCATTCGTAACCTTTATGTAGCAAACTAAAATTTTTGTGACGCATGAAACTTTGTAAACCTTTTCCCACAAACGAAACTGTCCAATGGAATGCCAGATCTAGTGGAAATATTCTGGTTTCACCGTAAGCACATATGATTGTAGACATCTAGTGTCAAGATGATCGATTTGTTTTATTGTATTTGCAACTTACAAACTCTTCTGAGAAATTCCCATCGTCTTGCTACAATAGAGTTTTATGGCGATACGTTTTTTTCTAAAACAATAATAATAATAAAACATTTTACTTCAGTCATCCGTGTGTCTATGAGGCTACTGTAAAAGAGCCTAGACAAAGGGTTCTGACGTAACCATCAGCCCCCTTACAGCTGTCAGCAGGAGAGCCAAATTGCAAAGTGTAAAGGTAATATAAAATATAATTAGAACATCAAAACTCAGGTAAAAAGAAAGACATTCTCTTGTTCATTAGCTCCTTAAAGTATTATGCAGGGGCAAAATACAAAACATAAGAAAACGGCAAAACAAAAAAGTGCAATACTCCAATTAGCGAAAATATAACCAGATCTTGGTAACACGGGCTGGTTTTGCAGCTTAAAAAGTATGGGCTCAGAAGAATACGGCAGATATCCATAACAAAAGCTATAAAAGTGTGTTTCGCATAGTCAGCTTTACTGCCCGCGATTCTTTTACTTTGTTTTTGACAGCAGGTGAATGTTGATTGTTATTCAGACGCGCTTGCGCAGCCCTTCTATACTCAATTTAAAACAAAAAAAAATATATATATTTATACGGCGTAAGATACTTTTATATCGCATTTTATGCAGGTTATGATGCTTCATGCTTCGAGTCAATTGATTCGCGCGTAACCCACAACAAAAAAGCGCATTGTCTTAAAAAGAAAGTAGTTGTTCAAAACAAAACAGGTAACAAATATATTATTGTGAGGGAATAGAACCTATTTTGCTTGCGTATAATCTAGAGGTGTGCCGTTTCCTGGGCAGTGGTATACACCCCACAAAGAAACCCCCAGCGATGCCTTTTCTCAAGTTTGTGTTCACTCTGGCCGCGACTGGATTCTGTGAGCATAATTATTGCGAACTCCAAAACAAACTCTATTCCTTCAATTCTTGCGTAGTAGGCTCAAAACATAAATTCCTCCTCGAAGTTAAAAATTCAACTCTGGATTCCGTCATCCTACGTAAATTCTACTATAACATGCTATAACGGACGGATTTTCTAGGGAAAATAATGACTGGATAATGAGAGAGCGCTTCATTCCATGGTTGCGGCTGATGTTTCCAACTTGCAGCGATTTATTTTACGGCATCAGCATAGCACGGAGCACATAAATCCCGAAGTAGAGTACCTGAACGGCACGGATCGTTCACAGAATGAGAGAGTACACTAGCACTAGCTCAGAGCAGACGACCAAATCGCGCGGGAACATGGGAAGGTAACGGTCACGTGTCACGCCCAATTAAATTGAAGCTAAGGGAGAGAGGCATATTTTTATAGAAAGGGCATGGGCGTGGGGGTAATTCCTCTTTCCCACTTCAGACATTGGTTACAGCTAGATTTCAATATACAGGGACCTTACGGGAGGTGGAATGAGGGGGTGAGGGGGTCTCGAACGGATCCTATCTAGAAACATTTGTCTTTTTACAGCGACAGGGTGTTTATAAAGAAGCGTGTACAACAGGTATGGGCACTGCGCATGCCCAAAAACCAGATTATCGTGTATACTTCGTCTCGCCCTACGATGGACCAAAGGCCGAAGCTACGAACCGCCAGATTCAATCACGAGCCACTTCGACATTGCGTGGGATTTCGCTTCGATACACGTATCGGGGCCCGCGTCTCGGATCACTGATGGGAATGGGCGGACATTGCTTCGTTTTGAGCAATGAGTGACTCAACAATTTTACACTGCAAAGAAAGCCACGACGTACTGTCCCTTTGGAGTGCCGAAGCTATAAACATGACGCAGCGTTTTTGGATTCGGAGCATTATTCGTCAATACCTAATCAAAGCTAATCGTTTCATAGTTTAGCGTGGAACGCGATTGGACCTGGCGGCCTGTGGCTTTGGCCATTAGTCCATCGCAGGATAAGACGAAGTATAGTGAAGCGCCCGCACACACGCCGCACCGGCATCAGCGGCACCGTAACGGCGTGACGTGCAAGCCGCGCGGTGGCGTACACTATATTACAAATTAAGGATGTCCTTATTAAACACGAGACAGTTTTACAGGAAAGGTTGGCATAATTATCGCATGTATTAGTATTTCGCTAATAGTTTGGCGTACAATGACCCTAAAATTTTTGACAGGGCGTATAGAGTACAGACTTGGCTGGAGGTGAGGCAAGATGCTTAAATAAAAATGGCGACGGCCCTGGCTTAGGAGTTTACATCGAGCGCATCCGAGCAGCTGGGATCATGAGTGCTTCAGCCTAGGAACTCAAGAAATGAACTACGTTTAGAGCGCAGCTGTTAGGCGCCCGTTTCCGGGTTGAGCGACGTCGGCGTCGGCGTAACCGCGCGCGTTGCATTATAAGACGTTTCTTCCCTAAACTTAGCCGGTATATTTTCCCGCTATATTTAGCGGGCAAATTTTTCTGCTAAATTAGCGGGGCAAATTTTTCACTAAATACAGCAAAAAAGTTTCCCGCTTAAGTTAACGGAAAAAATGTTTCCATCAAATGTAGCGGAAACATTTTCCCGCTAAATTTAGTTGAAACATTTTCCCGCTAAATTTAGAGGAAAATTTTGCCGCTAAATTTAGCGGGCAAATTCGTATCACGTCAGCAATGAACAAATCCAGCCACAGGTGGAGAGGAAAAGGGAAGGAGGAGGAAGAGGAGGATAGGCAGAGGAGGGGGGGGAGGAAGAGGAGACTGGGAGGAGGAGGAGGAGGGGCATA